CGTTCCGGTTGGTCATGGCGCTTGCAGCGCTCAATGATTGGCATTGGTCTGGACTCGATGTCAGTAAAGCTTTTCTCTACGGAGAGCTTGACGAAGAGGTCTACATGGAACAACCCGAAGGCTTTGTGGCGAGAGGCCAAGAGCGCAAAGTCATGCGCTTGCACAAGGCAATCTATGGACTCAAACAAGCTGCTTTAGCATGGTGGAAAGCGCTGACCAAGTCCACGAAAGCCATGGGCTGGATCCGACTAACATCGGATGCCGGCGTGTTCTTCTACAAGGACTCTGATGGCAGCATAGCCGTCATAATAGTCTATGTGGATGATGCTCTGTTCTTCTCCAAGAACAAGAAGCTCCTCGCCTTTCTCAAGGCTGAGTTCAACAAGCGATGGGAATGCCGCAATTCTGAAGATACTCCAGAGTTCTTGCGCGTGCGCCTCAGTAGAGTAGGATCTTCGATCAAGATTGATCAGATTCCTTATCTCGACAAGGTGCTAGAGCGCTTTGGGATGCAGAACGCCAAGTTCGCAGCGACCCCTCTACCGGCTGGATATGTTCCAATGCCAAATGAGGATGAAGTCGATCCAGAGCTCAGGAAGAAATTCCAATCAGTCATTGGATCTCTTCTCTTCATCATGCTAGGCACACGTCCTGATATTGCATTTGCTGTGACCAAATTGTCACAATTTGCCGCCAATCCGTCCCAAGACCACCTCCATAAAGCGCTGTATATCTGCCGCTATTTGGCTGGTACTAGGAATTATTCGCTCATTTTCAATGGTGCGACGGATAGAGGGCTCATTGCATTTAGCGATTCAGACTGGGCTGCTGATCCGATCAAGAGGAGGTCTACCACTGGTTTCTTCACGAAATTGGCAGATGGAATTATTTGCTGGCAGTCTAGACTTCAGCGCACAGTTGCGCAGTCTTCTACCGAAGCAGAGTACATGGCGATTTCAGATTGTAGTCGCCAGGTGATGTGGCTGAAGAGCGTCCTTTCGGAACTCCAGTTCAAACTCACCATCCCAGTACCCATTTGCGGTGACAATCAGGGTGCACTCTTCAGTGGCAGCAATGCCTACCGAGACCGCAGGATGAAACACATAGACATCCGCTATCACTACATTCGTGAGCGAGTCGAGGAAGAAGAGGTTGAACTGTTCTTTATTCCGGGCAGTGAGAATCCTGCAGATATGTTCACCAAGAACCTAGGACGCGTCAAGTTCGAGAAGTTCAGGTCCCAACTAGGACTTGAGTTCAACTCGTCCTGAAGGAATGGCCGATGAAGATTTCGCTTTCAAACACTATCTCGTGGTTTTCAGCGTGGGGGAGTGTTGATCAAATGATTATCTTATCATCTGCCAGATGGATGTCGTGATACACATCTTATGACTCCATCACGTGTCATCTAGAGTCATGTCGACTCGTCCTAAATAGACACAAATAGCCCCCTGTATTGTATATAAGGAGGGCTCTATTACCCTTCAATAACAAGTCTCTTGACTACTCCCGCATAGTGCCCACACTAAGCTCTCAACTCACACAGGTGGGTTGCTAGACGCTCTCCCCAGTGCTCAACAGCCAGGACATCACGCACACCATTGAAAGTTGCCAGGGCGTAGGCACCATCCTCACCCTTGGGACTCTCGTGGCTGGGCTCGACCAAGCGATTCAGGGACTGCTGCTCACAGTCGAGACTGTGCTCGTGGGTGTGCTTGTTCTCGTGGTGGGACTGTATGTCTCTTGTTTCCCGTGCCAGCGGTGGACTGTGCTGACTGCTTGTTTGCAGAATTGTAAGTATCTCCCGTTGAATTGTTCTACACTTGAAATTTTCTTCATCAATCTGTGAATCTTTGTTATAAAACTCGTTTTTCTGCCGTCACATCCTCAAACACCCAACTCCAATCCTTTAGAAGATGACAGCAGCCGTGGCCCTCTGCAGCCTCTCAGCTTGTATTCACATCACGTGAATTTTCGGAGGTTTCGTCGTGGACCTGAGCTCACGCAAATATCGTCTGTTGGATCTTCAATTTCCATTTCCTGGAAGTCTTGTCACACATCATCTCCCGTTCACGCTGATACCGAAAGGACAGACTGGTTCCCTTCTAAATTTATGCGCACCAAATGGGCCTCAAACATTGGTATGTTCCTGCTCTAAAATTGACTTTGTATGCGCGTCTCATCCACCATGTTCACTAGCTTTATCTACCTTCGAGACCGAACAAGACTAAGCACTGTTTCACCAGATGTATATCCTTTTTTGTTCATCGCTCTTGCCATGGCTGTTGCACTGGAGAGGACCCGCAGCATTTTCCACTTGATGAGGTGATCGCTATGTAGACCATCACTGCTGGTCGATGCTTTGACACATAACTCAATGCACCATCGAGTGGTCGGGTTACCACGCAACTCACCGCGAATCCTTGTTGGAGGGCAGAATCAGACACACAACAGCCAAAAGTTCTTTGGGGTCCCACCAAATATGTCGGATCATCAATCAATCATCAGGCATGACGTCTGACGCTCGGTTAAAAAGCGCGATGCTCCGAGCCTCCATAGATCATTGACAGGCCAGATCTGTACCAACAATCTACAACGTATATGTACTTGATAGTGTATAATTCGTGTAGCAAATACTCATGACATGACTCAGACCTATGACCATACGTGAATGTCTTCGTAATGGTTAGATGCTGTCATATAATACTACCAACTCGACTCATTCAAAATCGTCAAAATACGAGCATCATATAGAGCAAATTCACCAAGCTAGCTCAAATAACAGGTATATACTGTGTATGATGCTCAAATATATGAACGTGATCCGAAAGGAGTGATCTTTCGGGCAGAAGATGTACTTATCTCTACTGCTGCTATCTTGCAAACTGACATTGGGATCCATGCAGCATCAAAGGGATCATTGCTTCTGGACACTAATCTCTGATTGCGACAATTGAATTGAAACGGTGGAAATTACACCGAGCATTAATGGGGTAAGGTATGCCGCATTAGAAACCAGCACCCATGACTAAGCGTCACACCGTGACAAACAGCGACGGAAAATGACGGCGGCCACAGAGGGAATATAGCCAAAGCACTCACATGAGGTGTTTCTAGAGGCCTTTAGAGCACCTGCTATCTGAACCGAATCTTTCATTATGCCTCCTGGAGAGCATGATATGAGGCTCAAGCATTTTGCATCAAAAGTTTCCTTTTATTGTAGAAAGTGATTTCCCACTGAACTGAGCATTTTTTAATTTTGGGTCGGAAGATTTGACCATTCACGTGACTTCCTAATTGGGAAGTGGCAGTGCTACTAGCGTCGAGAACCCCTTCTGTAGTCATAGTAGCCATACAAAAGCTCAATTATCCTTGGGACACCCATTTTGGATCACTTTTGGTGCATACAAGTCCATCGTTATACCAAAAAAGAAGGGTCGCATTTTTCGGACCGTGGATTTGACCGTCACGTGACCGTCACGCGCTGCTTACTAAGGGGTGCTGGTTCTTAATGCGGCATACCTTAGTGGTAACCTGGGTCGTTGCCATGAGAAGCCTGCGACTTCGACCCGCCGGGGGTTCGATTCCCTCTTAATGCATTTTAATTTTATTTTGCCCAATGACGTCGGGATTTGGCAAGTTAGTCATCCGAACCATAATCTACTTCATTCTTTTGTCATCATCTTAGCCTCTTTCCCACAAGTCATGTCTGCCCCATCCAAACCTTCAGTCCAAGTGTACGACCCCGAAACCCTGCACGGTGTCCAAGCCCTGCTTTTCGATGTGTTCGGCACTGTCGTCGACTGGCATGGCTCCGTCACGGCCGAGCTTAGAACTCTGGGCGCAAAGCACGGTATGGAAGACGCGGACTGGGATGGATTTGCCAGGACCTGGAGGCAAGGCTATATGCAGACGACGTAAGTGCGCATGCATGCGTCCTGCGCTCGACCCAACATCCCTGCTTGTATTACAGAAAACGCGTCGCAGCGGGCGGCCCCGGCACGAAGGACGTCGACCTCATGCACCGAGAGGTGAGCGCGGGTAAATTCAGGCTCAGGTTTCGCGTGGTTCACTTGGTGCCAGATCCTCGACAATATCCTTTCTACCCCCGCGTGGCGGGAGTTGGGGGACCGGCTGGATAAAGGGGCCCGAGATGCGTTGAATCTTGTCTGGCACAGGCTGTATGGTACGTGTGACACTGCAGTGCGATCGTCAATCCGAATCTATGCAGGCTGGTCCGATTCTACGCCGGGTCTTTACGCACTCAAGAAGCAGCTCCTGATATGCACCCTGTCAAACGGCACTGTGCGCCTTCTCGCGGACATGGCCAAGTTCGCGGATCTCCCGTGGGACGTCGTGTTCTCCGCGGATATGTTCAATTCGTTCAAACCGTGCGTCCCATTCTTTGCGTCTCGCAATATCTGCCTCGAATGATCTAACCAAGACACATTGAAGAGACCCGCAAGTTTACCTCGGCGCCGCGCGCAAACTCTCGCTCGAACCGCATCAATGCGCCATGGTCGCGGCGCACATCTATGACCTTCGAGCCGCGGCAGCGCTTGGCATGCGAACGGTCTATATCCCCCGTGGAGATGACGGGGAAGGCTTGGAGGCGGGGGTGAAGGCCAAGGCAGAAGGCGGGGAAGTGGACCTCGTCGTGAGGTCGTTTGAGGATTTGGCGGCGGTTTTGGCGACGAGGAAGCAGTGAGAATGAAAGCGATTGGAATGGAATCCCTCAAATGCTGTACATGTAAAAGAACTGAAGGTGTATTCTTTGTTGTGGCGTGCAACACTCCGAAGTCATGAGCAATGGGCAGTAGGGTTCATACACACAAGATATTTGTTGGAAGGGAAAGGACCACATTCCAATGTCGACCGTTGGAGGGAAAACGAAGCTACACACAGACTTGCCGTCGGACTAGATCGGCGTCTTGGAACATGTTCCAGCATCTAAGGCGCGGTGCCTGTTTTCTGGTCTCAATTCGGGATCAGTGAAGAAGTCTGTCCAACTTATGTTCAACTTGTAGTAATGCATTGTTCTACAGTGTAGTGTAAACAGCGTATATGAGCTTGAGAAATGTTCAATAGCTGTATAACGGTCTCTGGGCAAACATTTCCGAAGCATAGTGCAAAGTATAAACGCCGTTTGTACACCAGAGATAATCAAAGCATACAGCGGTCTGATCCTAAAGTAGACACATATATTCTCACCCCAATTGGGGAAATAGAACGAACAACCTAAGAGTCGATCTGCATCCTGTCCGGATCCTCCTCCTTCTCTTCTTTTCCGGCCCGGTTCTCTCGCTGCCGAAGATGCGATTCGCCCACACGCGATTCTGGTGTCCGGTCGCGCTTGTTTTGGGATACGGAGAGGTCGACAGCGTTAGTGTGACCTGCTGGTGGAACTGCACACATTGAGCGTCAAAGCGCCAGGGATGGCATCATCAGAAACGCACCTATCTGTGCCCCAGCGGCCCTCTCCAGTACCCGTCGGCTCCGCGCTGATGGGTTGAAGTGACCGCACTGCGGACATTTGTATTCTAGGGTCATGGAAGCAAGCAATCGATCAGCTGAGAGCCAAGAGCGAAGCACGACGTGAGAGTAGCGTACGCGCATCGGGCCACATGGCCTCCGGAACTAGCCCATTGTGGGTAAAGCATTTCTCGCAGATCAACGCGTACTTCTGCTTCGCGTCGTCGCGCTCGGTCTCAGGTCCGAGTAACACGTCTGCAACGGAGTCGAACCACCGACGCGGCTCCTGCTGTTGCTGGGATGGACTCGGCGCTGGCAGAGGTGCACTCTGCGACTGCTGCATGCGTGGGTTCGCGGGTGTTTGAGGCGGCGCAGAGCGGGCAGGTGTTTTCGGAGCCTGTGCCGCGGAGGGGGAGGGAGAAGAAGGAGATGACGAGTCGTATTTCGCGAGGAGCTCCCGCGTCTCGTAGAACTGCGTCTTCTTCTTGAGCGCTTCCACGGTCGTGCGCTGCTCCTTGAGCAGATCTTGCAGCGTGTTTTCCTCCGCGTTGCCTTTGCTTGCGTACCACACTTGCACTATCCGGCGCACGAACAGAATGCTGGGCGCCGGCGGGTGAGCTTCGCGAGGCGAGGAGGGAAGCGAGACACGCACAATATGGGACCGACCACCACGGGCGCAGCCCTTACGGCCCGCTCCACGCCATGAGAGTTCCTCCGCCCATCGACCAGCCCGTAGTACCAGACCGCAACGTAGGCGGACCATGCCGCGAGAGTGTAGAGAGTGACGAGTGCGGATGCGTTGCGTTCGCGCGCGCGGATGGCGGTAAGCTGTGTGCGGCGGGTCTGGATGCGCGATGAGAGCGATGCGAGAATCGACTCGTAGTCATCTGCGGCCGGTTTCTGGTGGGTGTGGGTCAGTGGGTATGTGCGGTGCGTAACGAGTTCCGAACGCACTGAGCGGAAGAGCCGCCATATGAACGACATGCGGAAAGAAGGGGACGGAAAAGGAAATGAAGAGGATAAAGAAGGATTGTCTGTGAGTTCAAAGTGTTACAGAGTGCAAGCAAAGACACGCGTCGACAGGTGTGGTGGGCAGAGGAGAAGAAGAAGACACGTTTGTATTAGGTCAGCGATTAGATCAGGTGATTGGTACATTAACTTGACAGCGGCCCCGGGGATCTGACTTTGTTTCGACCGTGCGCATGCTCGATCGTACTAACGACCGTACTTGCTGCATCCTCCACGGGCTTTTGCGATTGAGTGCATGCCGAGTTTTCCCATTTTTACATCCGCGACCAGCGCCGCCGGCTTTATCGGCCCTGATCGCGCGCCTATCATCATCGGATTACCCGACGGCAGAATAAAAATTCTGACTCAGACATTGGGAAGACTTGGCTCTCTCCTGCTTCCCTCTCTCTGAATATTCATGTCTCTCACTACTGTTGACGTCGCCCCGTTTCTCTCGAAGAGCCTGGCGCTGTGGCGCGAAGACGGCAGTGCGTCATGCAACCCCTGATCATCTTTCATCAACGAGAAAGTATCTGCACACAGTCCGCGGTCTGTTCCCGCTGGAGCTCCGTCCGGGCATGATATCTTTGCTGGCTGGTGAGCCGCCCGATTCATCACTTCCTCCATCGCGCTCAAGGGATGCCACTCCTCCCTCAGGCCGTCCGAACGCATCGACGTTCCCATTCGAATCGATCACGTTGAAGCTGCGGTCAACCTTGGCCGGTTTGCCAGCTCAGGCTGATGGCATCGACGATATGTTCACGATCGAGCTTGGACCGGAAGACTTGGCTCAGGGTCTTCAGTGAGTTCGAATTCACGGCGCTGTTTTCCCCAACTTCGGTTGAACACTGTCACCGTGCTGCAGATATGGACCGACGGCGGGTTCTCACGGTCTTCGCGAGGTTAGATCTACCCATCTATCGTTGTTTGCAATAGGCCTGACGGGAGGATCTGCAGTGGTTCGAGAACTTCCAGGCTCAGGTGCACAAGCGGCCGCAGAACGGAACCTGGACGGTTTGCGTCGGCTCCGGAAGCCAGGATCTCCTCTGCAAGGCATGTTGTAACTCTGATGAATTGATTTTGATGCTGACCGCACAACAGGCTGCACAGCTCCTCGTAGACGCGGGCGACTCGATCTTGGTAGAGACGCCGGCATATCCGTATGTACTCGCGCCCCATGCAGTGACTTCTTTTCTGAAAAAGGAACAGTGGATCCCTCAACTTCTTTAGAACGCTGCCCGTGTCTCTGATTGGTGCGTCCGCATCCCGATGATCAATCAAACTCACCTATCAGTCCGTCGCTTGGCAGAGGTGAACTCGGACGGACAAGGTCTGGATCCCGACCACCTCTCTTCCATCTTATCCACCTGGGACTCTACTTATCCCGGCCGCCCCATGCCGAAGTTCCTATACACCATCCCATCTGGAAGCAACCCGACTGGAGCATCAATCCCCGAAGCGCGGAAGGTGCAGATGTACGTTGTGGATGCCCTCTTCGTTGTTTGAGATTAACTTTCTGCAATCCGTAGCCTGCGTCTCGCGAAGCAGTATAACTTCCTGATCCTAGAAGATGACGCTTATGCGTTCGTGTACTATGGCGAGGGCCCGAGGGCGCGGACCTACTTTGAGATGGAGACCGAGGTGAGCGGTGAAGAGGGACGTGTCGTTCGGTGCGTTCATGCCGTTTTCTATCACCTCCAACGGATTACCAACGCTCAATCATTCAGATTCGACTCTTTCAGCAAAGTCATGTCGAGCGGGATGCGGATCGGATTCATGACTGCTTCGCCCGAACTCGCGCGGGCTGTGAACCTGGTGACTGCGAGCACAAAGTGCGTCCAAAATATTTCGCTACTAGCTCCTCGACTGATCAGTTTTCTAAAATCAGCCTGCAACCCAACTCCCTCACCCAGCTCATGGCGTACTCGCTCCTCGTGCGCTGGGGCCCGGAAGGATTCCTCGAGCACTGCCGGGGTGTGGCCCAGTTCTACCGCGCGCGCCGGGATATGTTCGAGGCACTTGTGCGCAAACACCTCGATGGACTTGTCGAGTGGACGTCACCCATCGCCGGGATGTTCCTTTACCTCCGCGTGCGTTTCGTCTAGTACGGATATCCTGCTTCAGCTCACTCTCCACAGTTGTTGATCCCGACCCCGGACGGAACGCCCCTGGATTCGAAGGTCCTTGTATCCACCCATGCGGTGGAGAAGGGTGTTCTGGCAGTTCCCGGCAGCTCGTTCATGCCGCTTGGCGGGCCGACGCCGTTCCTGCGCATCAGCTTCAGCATTATCGAAGAGGACAAGGCTGAGGAGGCGTGCAAAAGGCTCAGGGAAGTCATACTCGAGGCCAGGAAGGAGGCACAGTCATAAGTGTGTGGGCTTGGACGAGGATTCGCAGGAAAGACTTTGAAAGATACCGCTACTAGTCATTTCTTGTCATGAATCTAGATCCCAACGTGATGCGGAAAAGTTTCGCTCGATGTAAGAAGGTTGGGACGCGCGCATCACGAAGTCTGCCACGTCAACAAGGGGCAAGGAAGTGGAACCATCAAACTCAGCCCTGTCGAAACGTTCGTCAGACAAAAAAACGAACAGATTATGGAAAGCAGGTACGGCAAAAGGGAGACCCACGTGTCACGTGCATTAAGGGGGAATCGAACCCCCGGCGGGTCGATGGACGCCGTGGCGAGAATGGCAACGACCCAGGTTACCACTACCCCATTAATGCGTCGAGCTTATTCCGAGACTGGCTCTGTCCTCATGCGCACAAAGTTTGGTCTCAGAAAGTGAGATGATGTCAATAAATTTTATTCGCTGTGAAGATTCCACTGTGTCGCTTGAACTCGACCTGCTGATGGCCGAGAGACAGACTGCTCAAAGACCAATTACCAAGGTTTGAGATCCTATCACCAGATCCTTCGCCATTGAATGCATGGCATTCTTTGAGTGAGGGAATTCAGGGTCTATGGTAAGTTGTAATTGATGGAAAGTGCAATGCCATGATTCGTTCCTTCGCTTTCGTGAAGAGAGACGAAGTCACCGAGGTAAAGCGTCCGCCAGGAGAGGAGGTACGCGGATGGACTCAATATGACTGGAGCTCACTAATCGATCATGATATTCTTGCTATGTTGGTAGTCTGATATGCTACAGAAAGTCCTTGGTTCTGCCTCACTCAAACGCGAGCATAGTTCTGCACAACTCCGTAGCAGAGATGCCACTTGAGTCCATCGACGGTGTACATCGACACGATGCGAACCTGGTCGTACTGGATCCCGTCTTGATATCCGATCCGCATACCCGGAGCGCGGGCCGAGTCGTGGAATCGCTCGCCAGCGCGGTCCTGACGAGGAGTAAGTCCACTTGCTGAGAACATAATAGCAGGGGAACCCACGGTTGCGAATTGCTTCCACTCGCGAGCGAGGAACTCGCCAAGATACTTGAGCTTGATGAAGTGTCCCGAATCATCTTGCATGCGGAACTTGGAGTCGACGCTCTTGTAACCCGGCCACTACGAATCCAGCAATCAGTATTACTCTCCAAGGGACGGAAATCAAGACGCACTTCGATGACTAGATCGGCGAATGGCCAGCCGCGGGTGCTGCTTAACGCGGGAAGAAGCGTGTCGAGACGCTCTTCGCCGCGAGCCATGCCGAATTTGTGCTCCAGGTTAAGAAGTGCGACGCCCATCGAGCACGGGCTGTACACGGGGTCGAACAAGATGACGTTCTGTGCACTGGAGGGCGGGCGGTTGACATAGACCGCGTTGGTGTTTTTGTGCCACCAGTCGAGGACTTGCTGTTGCTGGCAAGCACAGTCACAACGCGGAACGAAAGATGATTATGTCACCGAAACGCACCGACATATCGTTTGAAGTTGATGGGAGGTTGAGAATGTTCAGTGGGTTGAGTGGATGGGTGCACTCCTAGCATAATTCATCTATCCTATATACCATTCGTCGACTCAAAGCACAATTGAGCGCTTTGGTAGAGTCGATGGTTAAGCGTAAAGCGCGCGCCAGCGAATACCGGCAAAGCGCGGTACAACGCGGCTGGAATGGCTTTGCACCCCTTTGGCGGCAATACTAGTCCCCAAATATTGTCTTTGCGCTTTGAAGAACTAGAGCATTCGCCTCTCCCATCATCTAAAGAGAGGGTCAATGGCACGTCGCCTTTGTTCGGTGTTTTGCTCGGGTGCGCACCTCTATCCGACTCTCCCTACGTTCCCAATGCCATTCATTGTTATAACAGTGGCTCATATCCAGAACTTGTGCGGCATTGGGCCATAAGCTGGAACGAAAAGCTGTCGCGACTTGAACGCAGGAGTGGCAGAAAAATCAATTGAGCGATTGATGCGATCATTGATTCCTGCGCACGTCGTGATCGTCGACGCGTCACGAGAACCTCAGGTGGCAATTGAAGGGTTGAGTTCGATCAGTCAATAGTGGAAAAGATGGTTCAAGTCTTCCAGACATTGCTTTCCTGTTGCGTGATCCAGTCGAGGTAGTTTTTATATGTTATCTAGTCGGCCGTGCAAAACTTTGAGTCAAGTCTCATTTGCACAGGCATTGGGAATGAGCGTGCGGAGTCAAGGGCTGCGCATTCTTGATAACAGTGATTCCTGTTTCAAGTACCAACGAAAACGGGTAAAGCAACATCAGCCCATGTGGCGGTGCTCTCTGCCATTCATCCGCATCTCTCCCTAGCAACGACCTTATCAAGCTCCGGTTCGCAGTGCCCCTTGCTTTGCTTAGCAAACGGCGTCATCCAATTCACGCTCGACAATTTGTATTTAAGCTTTGCAACAGCTGCCCAACATTATCTGCAAATGACATGACGGGCCTCAGACCAGTCAGGCACATCTTCCTGCTGAAATCTCCACAATCGGAAGTGATGTACGCGCAAGAATTGTACTGGTAGACCTTCCAATTCTGTCAGCTTCTTCGGGACCAGATGCCCGTTTCTCGGCGCCAACACACTTGCAGCCATTCGTTTGATGCCTCACCTTCCGGGGGCGTTTATCAGGGCTGTAGCTCGCAAGTCCAATTCAAATCCAATTCAATTTGCACACAGAGATAAGCCATGATATCCGA